AAGGGCCTAGGCCCAAAATGTCAGCCTTCCTGCTCCTCTGATGCTGCTTGGCCTGCTGTGTTCATCCAGCTCTACACCTTGTTATCTCAAATTCTCCAGCATCTGCAGTTCCTGCTATCTCTGATAATTTGCAACTTGTTTCAGAGTCTGACTCTCAGTCTGGGCTGACAACTGATGGATCTGCAGAGTCCTGCAGTAATAAAAATGCAGTGCCTGGAATTAGTTTCAGCTACTTTACTGCTGGATGAACACTTCTGAGGGCCATCAACTCTAATTTGGATAGATAAGGCCGTCATGATACATGAAGTTAATGGTACCCGTTAAGTTTGGATCGTCCCTTTAGTCCACTATGAAACATGGAAGCAGGCAATCTCAAAATTCCATAGTTTTCACCATTAGCCCATCCTTAAAACATTAAGATGTATGAATTCCACAGATAGCTATGTCCTCATGTCCACAGTTAGTATCAAGTCTCCAGGGAATATCTGTCTGTAGTCTACATGCAACAACATTAAATGGTCTGTGCCATCTATCTTATTAGCTTACGCATTCGAGTTTTAAAAGTATGACTTAAGTTCATAATATGACATGCCCATGCTGAGTATGACAGTGACATTATCCCTAAAGGAATCAGCTCTAATTTTATTATTCTCCTTTTCTCCCAAAAGGGGAAAAAAAAGTGATAACATCTCAAAAAAAAAAAAAAAAAAACCGGTTCATTAGATGGGAGATAATTTAGGCTACCCAGAAAATGTTTTACTTAAAATGTGGCTTTTGCTTTTAAAAGTTAGATTCATATTAACAGCTCAAAATGCAAACATCTGGAAAAATAACAACTTTTTTTTATAACAAGGGCATAAAAACATATCAGTCTATAAACAATGATTAACAATTCATTTTAAAGATACTTTTGAGTTGAGACAATAATCAGAAATTCACTCGTGGACACAGAAACAACCCGACCGTGCACCTTCACTAGGTTAAAAATTTGAAAGAAGATACCTCGCACTGTTAGGTTAACAGAAACGTCACCCAAATATCCCTCTTCTTTACGTACTACTTCACAGCGATATACTGCAGCATCTTTCCGAGTCACATTGTGTATATGTATAGACCAGCCTTGGACCTCTGCACGACCAACCAGATCTCCTGGAAACATTTTAGAAATAAAACAACTCATCTTCGTATAAGACCCTTCAACAAAACTATACAATTTCATGGCACCTCACAGCTTTATAATTTCCAAGCCAAAGGAGATATCAGCTGGGGTAACTAGAAGATTAGCCAAAGGGTGAAGTTCTAACAAGGAGAAAGGTAATAGTATTTAGGGAAAAAAATTCCTCAAGGTTCTGGCCAACATAGCTGAAGGCATTAACATCAAAGGTAAGGCAGTGCAAGATGAACAAGAGGTCACAGTTAAAGTCAGAATGTACAGATGACTGCAGAATAAACATAGGGAGATAGAAGGGGTGGCAGCAAATGAGAGGAAAGGCCTTGAAGGAATCTGAATATGATCTGATGTTAATGTAACAGCAAGCTGGCCAGTGCACTGAAATGTCTGGTGATGTCAACAGCATTTATGGGTATGGAAATAGTTGGTTACTTATGATAGAAAGGATGCGGGATCATAGTATCAAAAGGTAAATAGGGAAAGCCAAAGTTGCAAACAATCTCAATTAACTTGAGACAGTGTTAGTCTACAAATGAAACTAACGGCAAGAGGTGCAGTTTGTACAAAGTGCTGAAAATGATAGGGTCAATTTAATAACCATGTAATCCAGCTCACACAGGACATGATCAGTAAAAAAATGGCTGAGACTTTCCAGTCTCTAGACAGGAGGAAATATTAAACATACTCTGAAAGATTTGCATCAGGATCTCTGAAAGTCCTGATGCAATGACTAACAGTAATTGTCCAGAGAGTTTAAACTTCCAATAGGCAAACACACTGCCCAAAAGTCTCCAACTCTGAGTTAGGGATGGAGAATTCTGACTTATTTACCTTGAGATAGCAAGGAAATTTAGAGGGATTAAAACCTGCTCTAATTTCTGGTTAATTACACTACTAACCCACCCCAATCACATACTGTCACACCATCACCCACTGAGCACTATCACCTAACTCACTCACCCACCCGCTCCCTTACTGTCTTACCCCTCAAACATCTATCACCTTACAACCTCACCATCCCATCCACCTGCTACATGACAGGCTCATCCATTTATCTTGCATACCTACCTTTCCTCAGTCACTTGTCCAAGTTGCTTTGGGACTTTTAAACATTTTACTTACTGAAATACAGCAGCTACTGTCAAAAATTAGATGCAGCTTCTACGAAAGATTCACACCAACACTGCAAATGTGGTTTGCTAGACTGTGTCAGTTGGGATGTATTGTGCATTAGATGTCGGGATCAAAAAAAAAGGTAGAAAGGTAACTTTTTAAAATCTGATCTGGGTTGGAGATAGGGATTCTGACTCAGATTAGACAATATAGGCTAATGAAACTATAACGTCTATACCTGGAATCAGCAACAAGTCAGAAGAGCCAACTGACTATACGCTAAATTTTAAAATTACCCTGTACTTGAACCCCTTGTGGGCAAAGTGCAGGAGTGCTTTCCCCACAGCACACCTCCTCCCTCCCATCTTTCCACCTAGTCAACCAAGTGCTCTTTGGGCCTTCCAAACCTGCAGCATTTCTCAAACTTTATAAAAGCCCCAGCATTCCAACAACTTTCAAATGGAAACCTCTATCTTTCTTCCTACCCAAAGCCAAGGAATCTTCATCTATTGCCGCAAGTCCTCAATTTCAACCCTCTTGTTGGGGTCCCACTTTGAATAAGGTTGTGGAGCTTTGCAGCTAGTCAAACTGATTAAATTCATAGGCAGAACTACATCATATCCATGTTTATCTCTCTTCCAGAGTTTAAACTGTGGTACCAAACCGAGAGTCATTATTTTCCTTTGGCCCAATCATTTCAATACATGAAAAAGCAATCCTAAACATCCCTCGGACACACTAGTATTTACAATTCACAAATCTAAAAATAATCAACATTCCCCAATCCTCATTTTCCATTCCAAAACCAATGCACAACACATGCAGTTGCAATCTATTATAAATATTATGAATATTAAGTTAATGCAGCAAAGTGGCACTTCATCTACAGTTTTTTGAAATTTAAGGTAACATATTCCCCTCTCCATCTGTAGAGATAATCTAGAGAAAAGTTTTCAAAGCCATTTTTACATGTTTATACTGATTGAGGACTTGACAATATATCAAGTACAAAAATTTCATCTAGTATTATAATACCTAAACCATGAAGATAAACTGCCTCATCCCTTCCCTGAACAGAGTTGAACATTTGCCAAATCCACAGTTTTTTCAGATTTTTTTTTGGAACATCTGCCATCCTCTGTCCACAATTCTAGTTTTCACATACATACTCTAAATAATTGCATATTGGACATATTACTTATTCCTCACAATATATTCACATGGCAAAAATACCAATTATAGAAATGTTGAATCTCTTTTGACACCATAGTGCGAACCGATCTCATGTTTCTCTTAGCTTCTCATCTCATCTGTCTAATCTGCGAGTCAAATTTTAAAAAGGGATAAAATGATGAGATACAAGGGATGGTAATTGACCTTTAAAAAGTCAGGAACATACAGGAATATCTTAATTGATTCAGGTAGAAATTACATTAAAATCAGCCCATACCTCTAAGCCGGTTTTCAAAATAAACTAAATCGGTGCCAGCATTCAATTTCTTCCATTCAACACGAAGCTCGCCACTTGGATTGTGGGTAGTAATGCAGGATAATAATACAGCTGGGGGAAAAAAAATTTCAGCATTAGAATTTTTTGAGGATTTATTTTAATACAGAAAATTCATATGATTTCTTGAATGTGAATTTTTGGTTTCAAAAGGAAGATCTCAGCACACAGAAACAGAATACATTTCACTGTGTATTCAGCGTAGCCTTCGAGCACTTCAAATCAAGCAAGAGTTTCCTCTGCATTGTACAATGTTACCTGAGCTCTAACACGAGAATATTCCAAATTGTGCCAATGAGACATGTCTCTAATTCTATTATAGAACAACGTGAACAATATTTCCTCCAGGACACGTGGCCAAACAGCAATTCGATATTGAGCACAGGGTGTTTGTATTTTAACATTTGTTCCACTTTCCGTTTCTCTCTCATCCCTGCCAATTCAATTTATTCCTCATTCTTTCTCTTTCCAAACCTAATTTGAAATGGAATTTTCCCATTCTACTTGCCACTTCTTTCGCAGTTCTTACAGCGCTTATTTTACAATATCTCCAATTTTGGTTGGTAAAGGAGATGCAGTTACATGCCTTGTTCACTCAGTCCCTTAAATGTCCAGTTTCTGTCATTGATGTTACTGTGCAAGTTATAGGTTTTTTGAGCTACAAAGCCTTCAGAAAGGTAGTAACAACCAGAATTTTGAATCCAGTGGAGTTCATTAAGCAAGATTTTATAAATACTGAAGACAAGCAAGTAGTGTGGGCCACATAGAAATTTCTCATCCTGCAAGGTCCAAGATTCTTTAAAAGTTGCAGGTACAGTCAATGCCTTTCTTCCTCGGTGTGTGAAATGATGTAATATTGAACAGTGGAATCACACCACAGAAGGCATGATAAAACTGTGCAATCACTGAATTTGCAACATTTATTCATGATCCTGAGATTGTCTTATTCCTTATTAGGAAATCTTTCAAATTACATGTGTATGATCGATAGCCACAGGTGAGGTGCCAGAAGACTGGAGGTTGGCTAACGTGGTGCCACTATTTAAGATAGGTGGTAAGGAAAAGCCAGAGAACTATAGACCAGTGAGCCTGACATCAGTGGTGGATAAGTTGTTGGAGGGAATCCTGAGGGACAGGATTTACATATATTTGGAGAGGCAGGGACTGATTAAGGATAGTCAACATGGCTTTGTGCATGGGAAATCATGTCTCACTAAGTTAGAGTTTTTTGAAGAAGTAGTGAAGAGGATTGGTGAGGGCCGAGTGGTGATGTGATCTATATGAAGGTCAGTAAGGCATTCAAAGTTCCTCATGGCAGACTAGTTAACTAGATTAGATCGCATGGTATACAGGGAGAATTGGCTCTTTGGATACAGAACTGGCTCGAAGGTAGAAAACAGAGGGTGGTGGTGCTTTTCAGACTGGAGGCCTGTGAGAAGCAGTGTGCGATAAAGATCAGAGCTGGGTCCATTGGTTTTTGTGATTTATACGATTGATATGGATGTGAATATGGAAGGTATGGTTAGTAAGTTTACAGATGACACCAAAATTGGAGGTGTAGTGAACAGTGACAAAGGTTACCCAGAGCACAACAGGTTCTTGATCATGAGCCAAGGGACCAAAGAGTGGCAGATCGAGTTTAACTTAGATAAATGTGAGGTGCTGCATTTTGGAAAGGCAAATCAAGGCAGGACTTATACACTTAATGGTAAGGTTCTGGGGAATGCTGCTTAACAAAGTTCTTGGAGTGCAGGTTCATAGTTCCTTGAAAGTGGAGTCCCAGGTAGATAGGATAGTGAAGGTGGTGGTGTTTGGTATGTTTGCCCTTATTGGTCAGTGCATGGCATATGGCAGTTGGGAGGTCATGTTGCGGCTGTACAGGACATGGTTTACGCCACTTCTGAAATAGTGTGCGCAATTCTGGTCTCCCTGCTGTAGGAAGGATCTTGTGAAAATTGAAAGGCTTCAGAAAAGATTAACAAGGATATTGCCAGGGTCGGAAGGTTTGAGCTATAGGGAGAGGTTGAATAGGCTGGGGCTATTTTCCCTGGAGCATCAGAGACTGAGGGGTGACCTATATAAAATCATGAGGAGTATCGATAGGGTGAATAGCCAATATCTTTTCCCCGGGGTGGGGAGAGCCCAAGACTAGAGGGCATAGGTTTAAAGTGGAAGGGGAAAGATTTAAAAGAGACCTAAGGGCAACTTTGTCACGCACAGGGTGGTGTGTGTATGGAGTGAGCTGCCAGAGGAAGTGGTGGAGGTGGGTACAATTACAACATTTAAGAGGCATATGATTTGGAAAGGTTTAGAGGGATATGAGCCAAATGCTGGCAAATGGGACTGGATTTATTTAGGATATCTGGTCGACATGGACGAGTTGAACCAAAGGGTCCATTTCTGTGCTGTAATCTCCATGACTCTAACTTTTTCCAATGGCTTAAGTGGAGAGTCAGGTGCCACTCCATCTCTCTAGCTGGAATCATGTTAACTAAACAACTGTTTAACTCTTATGACAATGGCCCTAGAACTAACATTTTCTTGTGTGAACAACTTTCAGATAAAATTTTGAAACCATCTATTATAAACCAGTCACCTAACTTCCCCTGGAATTCTAAAGTAATTAGAAACAAATGTTTTGAGCAAAATATCAGATGTCTTTGCAAAACATAAATACTTTTTCTACAGTTTAGGTTAATTGATCAAGTCAATTAATAAACAAACCTAAAAAAAACATGAACCTTGTCTAAAGAGGAGTGTCATACTCAGTTCAAGCTGGTAAGTTCAAACATTTTATTTATTTCTTGAAAGCTGACAAGCAATTCTTTAATTGTGCCTCGTAATTAAAAAAGAAAATTGCTTGATGCAGACATTTCAACTACTTCAGGTCATTTAAGCCAGTAAGACCAGTTCGTCACAAGCAGGTGTCTTCAGTTAATTGTCACATTAGCAGAAATGCAAACTAAACAAGCATAGTTAAGGCCAAATCCCAAAACATCACTTCAAACCAATATATGCAAAAACGTATTATAAAAACCTTACAACCAGCTTGTGCAGTCAGCAACTTGCCTGATGCAAATTATAAATTATATCTAAAATGTTTTAAGACCTTGACATGGGAAATCGAATCTAATCAATAACAGGAGTTGTTAAATGCTCTGTCTCAGCAAATTATAACAATAGGTTTTATACCATATTTTGACAGACCTGAATTAAAACAAAGATGTCACATTCCAAATTGTACTTGCACACTGATCTGCAAAGCAGCACCACTTAGAAAGTAACACAAAAATGTAGGAAATATAACAAGGTACAAGCTGAAGTAATCTGAATCGTTGTAACTTACCAGTAAACTCATCTGCCACAGGGTTTGGATCACGTGTTGTCACCACTCCTGCCAATATTTGATAACCTGAACAGGAAATGAACACTTATGAAAATACTTTACAAATATCAGACAGTTACCTCCAAAAATTTTAAAATTGCACTGCACTGAAATAATGAGATCTCTTGACAGTACCGTACAGCAGACAAATGGTTTGCGATGCAGTGTGATGCCAACAGCATGGATTCAATTCCTGCTATGGCTGAGGTTACCGTGAAGGATTGGCCTTCAAGCTCTCTCCTTGCCCAAGGTAGACTCAGAGCATAGAAACAGACCCTTCTGTCCAACCAGTCCATACTGACCATAATGCCAAACTAAACTAGACCCACCTGCCTGTGCTTGGCCCATATCCCTCCAAACACTTCTCATTCATGTACTTATCTAAAATGTCCCTTAAATGTTGTAACTGTATCCGCATCCATTACTTCCTCTGAAAGCTCATTGCGCACATGAAACCGTGTTTAATAAAAAAAAAGCCATGTCTTTTTAAAATCTTTCTCCTCTCACCATATGCCCCTTAGTCATGGAACCTCCACCCTTGGGAAAAGACACCTAGAATTCACTTTATCTATAGGTGTGCTGTCCTTTAAGTTAAACCAACACCAGTTTTTCTCTCTCTAATGACAGAAACGTCCTATCAACTGGTAAGGCTGGTGACTTTGCTTTTTAAACAGCAAAATATGAAATTGGAGTTAGTAAATGGAAGCTGCTTTTGAGTTGCCAGATTGGCTGACAATCTTGCCATCCTGGATTGGATGGTAACTTTCGGGGTGCAAAGCAAGCTAGGTACTCAGTGTTGTAAATATCTTCCAAAAACACAGTGGGAGAACTTTGGGTCTCTGTACTGCAGGAAAAGTAATAATAAAATCTAATTGAAACATACAGACTCCCGAGTGGGTTTGACAGACAAGATGCTGTAAGGCTGTTCTGTGTGCAAGTTGAGAGCTAGGGACCACATCTCAAGATAAGAAATGGTCCATTTAATTTAGGACCAAGATGGGGAAATCTCTCTTTTGAGGAAGATTGCGAATCTTTGGAATTATCAAGACATTCTTTAGATGCTCACAGATTATATCCTACACAAAGATCAATAGACATTTTGCATTTGGATAAATTAAGCAATATCAACATAACTCCACTTTCCTACACTAAGGTAGATCAGCCAGGATGGTAAGCAATAGCCAAATGTTTAGGAGAAAGAAAATTTACTTTGTTCTTACAGTTCCCAAAACACTCAACATTAAGGACTGTCTAATGCCATTTTTAGGTTTAGTATAGACCAATTAAGAGATCAGCGCCATTAAATCAACAATACAGCCAGATGGTACAATTGTCAGCTTGGTAAAAGGTTAATGAGGGGAATACGAGTCGTCATGATACACAAACTTCATGGAGCGAATGAAATGATTGGAATGATGCACATTCCAAGTGTTCTAGATCACAATGGACAGGGCCACTAGTTCAATAAGTCACAGGCCAAGAATGTTTATACATATTGGGACGGCACGGTGGGTCAGTGGTTAGCACTGCTGCCTCAGCGCCAGGGACCCGGGTTCGATTCCACCCTTGGGCGACTGTGTGTGGAGTTTGCACATTCTCCCCGTGTCTGCGTGGGTTTCCTCCGGGTGCTCCGGTTTCCTCCCACAGTCCAAAGATGTGCAGGCGAGGTGGATTGGCCATGCTAAAATTTGCCCATAGTGTTCAGGAATGTATAGATTAAGGGGATGGGGTCTGGGTGGGATGCTCGGAGGGTCGGTGTGGACTTGTTGGGCCAAGGAGCCTGTTTCCACACTGTAGGGATTCTATGATCTATAATGCACATTTCTCAAGGGCCAATTCAGGAATTCCCAAACAATTCTCTGATTAACGTTTTACACCTTCTCTAAATTTTCCTTTCTCCTTTTTCCCCCGCTCAATATCTATCAATCTCTAATTTGATTCAAAATAATCATATTTTGTTCTATATCACTAGCTGTTTATCTGGCTTTCACTGGCTTAAGACATGCTATTAAACAGAATATTAAAATAGTTCTAGATCCAATACTAATAACACCATGCCAATCCAGAAACCTGTGGCTCATAAATGATGCAATGTGAACAATGAAATAAAATTTCCTTTTGTATAGAACAATTTTTTTGTGGATACACAGCACATTCTCTTGCTTTATAACATATTAGCCCTCCCCTCTTGAGTGTCCACCCGTCCAAAAAAATCACCTGCTTCAAGAGGTGCATATACATGTGCAGTTTAGAGGGAACCTTGTTTGTAAGGTCACTGGACTAGTAATCCAGAGATCCAAGCTAATGTTTTGGGGACATGGGCTAATATCCGATCATGTCAGCTGGTGAAATTTAAATTCAATAAAATCTGGAATAAGAACTCATTTAATAGTGATCATTTAACTATTGTCTACTGTTGAAAAAAACTCATCCAGAAAACTTCAATGAAAAACAAAAGGAAAAGGCACAGGTCAGAAATCTCAGTGAACAATCCACAAAGTCAATATCAACCATACGCATAGCCCAAAACAAAAATTGGCTTAACTGTGCTGTAGATCATGGTATACAGTTGAACTTCAAAGCATCCTCCCCAACATAGGTATTGGCTTACATGCCTACCCACACATTTTGGTGACCAAGAAAAAAAAGCAGGATTGTCTTACATGCTGTGATCCACAGTAAAAGATCTCTTCCTGAAAAACACAACCAAGTTTCTTACGTATACAAGGCCAACCTAAGCTTTCAAAATAACTCAGGGCAGTTGTATATACATTTATGGACAATCTCTATTAGATTTAGGACTAGCAAAACAGATCTTCTGAAATGTTCAAAAAGACTCAATTTGGCTGTCAGATCGGAGTTTGCTAAGCATTTTACCAAAGCCCTGTTCAGAGATTTACGTCCTATTCATGATCCTTCTCAGGAACTGTATGGTTGTATAATTAATATTGGTATGTATGGTATACTGGTAACCTGGAATACTTCATAGTTTTGTCTAGTTAGATACTTGGTTTTTCTCCCCTACACTTTTGAAATTTAATATCCAATCCCCAAATTTAGAACTTTTGTTCTAGGTCATTACAAGCTTTGAAGGCTGAGGGATGATCTAATAGAGGTTTATAAAATCATGAGGGGCATGGATAAGGTAAATAAGCAAGATCTTTGCCCCAGGTGGGGAAGTCCAAAACTAGAGGGCATAGATTTAAAGGTGAGAGGGGAAAGATATAAAAGGGACCTAAGGGACAACCTTCTCATGCAGAGGGTGATCAGTGAATGGAATAAGCTGCTAAAGAAAGTGGAGAAGGCTGGTATGATTACAACATTTAAAAGGCATCTAGATGGGTATGTGAACAGGAAGGGTTTAGAGGGATATGGGCCAAATGCTGGAAAATGGGACTAGATTTATATAGGATATCTGGTCGGCATGGATGAGTTGGACCAAAGGATCTGTTTCTGTTTCCATGTTGTATATTTCTCTATGACTCTTATTACCTCACTGTAAATTGTATGTTTTGATATTACTATCACCTCTTGCTTAAAGCAGCTTTCCAAAACAAATGACCATCTACCAACAGCCAAAATGCCAGCTTGAAGATAGTGTTTTATGATGTATTTACCAAAAAAAATGTGCATTTCATACTGCACTATAATTGCTTCACAGTAGTGCACCACTAACCAATAGAAGCAGGCCATTACATGGGGGCCATTGCATTTGAATACCCAACAGTACCATTTGACTCCATTTTTGAAGAAAGTATTACTTGTCTTGGAGTACAACTAACTCTACCACAATTTGTTAATGGATTGTGCTGCATTTAGTTCATAGAGAATGATAAGTTGGCTAACTTTTGGAGTTAGCAGATCAATTCATAAATTACTTTGACAGTATGAAATATAAATTTCATGTTTTGATGACAGCTTTCAGTTCCACAATGATACTCAATGTGATACGGCTACATACAGTATTCTGCCTGGAGCAGCGCTTTACAGAAAGGAATTCACATCTGACTGTAGCTGGTAAAATAATTCAAGAGATCAGCTTCCTGTTTTCTGAAAATCTGAAAAAAAATTTTGTTCCTTTTATTGGAACAAAAATGATGCCCTTTTCTAAATAAACTGTTATTGTTTAGAAATAAGCGTTTGTCCATTCATGAGAGAGGTGAGGAGAAATTTGTCTGATGGTTGACTGCCTTGAGAACTCTGCTTCCACCACCTTTCCAGGTACAGAATCTTTGAATAATTTTAAGACTGATGCAGATTTGTGATGAACGAGGCAGTCAAAAGGTTGTCAGGGATAGACAGTTATGTGGTATAATCAGATCAGCCACGACTTTACTGGACGGGAGAACAAGCTCAAGGAGTCAAGGTCTATTCCCGCTCCTAATTTGTATGTTCATAATCTCTAGTTGACGAGGAAATGGATTTCCTCTACAAGACCGAACAGGACCTATAGTTTCCTATACTTAACAAGGATTAGAACAACAGCCTTCTTGAGCAGCAGCTCAGATAGGTTTTTTCTGTTCATTTGTAGGATGTGGGCGTCACTGGCTGGCCTGCATTTGTGCCCGTCCCTACTTGCCCTTGAGAAGATGGTAAAGAGCTGCCTTCTTGAACCACTGCATTATGGTTGACCCACAATGCTATTAGGGAGAGAATTCCAGGATTTTGACTCAGCGAAAGTACAGTGACATATTTCCAAGTCAGGATGGTGGTAGCTTAGTGGGGAACTTGCAGGTGGTGAGGTTCCAATATATCTGCTGCCTTTGTCTTTCTCGACGGAAGTGGCATGGGTTTGGAAGGTGCCGTCCAAGGATTGAGACATATTGGATTATGATTCTCTTTACCAACTCACTCACAAGCGCTTTATGTTTACTATACCATGTTTCCATTCACTCATTCATAAAGTTGCGTTTTTAGCACATTTTACCCTTGCAGAACATCCGTTTCCTCCACTAGCGTGCACTTTTTAAATACACATTAAATAGCGCTGCTACCCTTTTTAAAGAAACTTATATCAAACCAGCCCT